AGATTTTAACTTTTTGTTGGCCTATAATTTAATAATTTTCTTGTTCACAGTAATTTCATTAAATTTAAGAGACTTTCCCTTATTGAGTTTCTCCAAAGCAATCAACTTGGTTTTAATGAGAAAAGTCACATTTCTTCAGTTTACATGCCATTTAAATAAATTAGGTAATCACAAAAGGCACTGTAACTTATACCAAGTTTAGGTACAAATAAGTGACCCTTAGTAAGTACACACCTTACTGGGTGGAAGCAGAAGTACAAACACATTCTACAAAATATATACCAGCCCCCCAAAAATGTGCTAGAGTATCAATATGCATGATTTACAAAGGAAAAGATGGGTGTCAGAAAAGTTAATTATGAAGAATTGTAATGCATTCCACTATCATATAAAAATAAAAAGATTTAAAAATTTAAAAAAAATTAGGATATGTTGAAAAAAGAAAAAAAAAGAAAAGTTAATTATGTGGATGTTGCTTTAGAGCTTTTATGTACTTTTTGAATCTGAAACCACCCTCTACTGTTTTGTCCCCTCTTACGGGAAGAGGTTGTTGAAAGATGAAAAATATTGTTTGAAAGATGCACAGGGGAAAAGAGAGCATAACAGTCTCTTCTTATTCCATGAGTGTGGGGGTAGAATCTATATGTATACATCCAAGTGTGTGTGCTCATGCACATGTATGCATGTATATATACAGAGAAGTGGAATTATGAGGCATAGAGAAGTGGGGGAAGTGACTTTCATTGGATAGAGCGTCACCATGAATCTAGGCTTTAGTTACAGTGGACAAGCAGTAGGAATAATTTGCACAAGCAGAGGTAGTCCACTTTGTTCATAGTATACTACTAGGTATAAAGTGAAAAAGGGCAGAAGGAGTGAAGATAAAATTATGACTAAGTATAGGAAGAGTGGAGAAAAGAAAGGGATTTTAGCCTATGATCAAAACTGTGAATAAAAGGGATCTGGATCTTAAATGTTCCCCAAAGACCATGTATTGACAGCTTGTGGTGCAATGGGGAGGTGATGGAACCATTAGGAGGCAGGGCCTGGTGGAAGGAAGTTAGGTCACTGGGGGCATACTCTTAAAAGAGGTATTGAGCCCTGTTGATGGTTTAAATATGAGGTGTACCCCAAAGCTCATGTGTGAGACAATGCAAGAAAAATCTCAGTGTGAAATGATTGGATTATGAGAGTATTAACCTAATCAGTGTATTAATCCACTGATAGGGATTAACTATGGATAAGATAGAGTGTGGCTGAAGGATATAGGTCACTGAAGGCATGCCTTTGGTGTATATATTTCATCTCTGGTGAGCAGAGCTCAGTCTCTCTCTGCTTGTCAGCTTCCATGTCCTGAGCATCTGTTCTCCTCCTTGCCCTTCTGTGATGGTGTTTGCCTCATTCTGGGCCCAGAGCAACATAGTAGTCAGCTGTCTATGGACTGAGACCTCTGAAACTTTGTGGATGCCAAATAAACTTTTCCTCCTCTAAGATTGTTTTTGTCAGGGCTTTTGGTCACAGTGATGAAAAAGCTGACTAAAACAGGACCCCAAGTCTCTTCCTCTCTCTTTTGCTTCCTACCTGGCAGGTAGTGGACAGGCCTCCTCCATGCACTCCTGCCATGATGAATTATGCTGCCACAGGTCCAAAGTGATGAGGCCAAATGACCATAGACTGAAACCTCTAAGACAATGAGCATAAATAAATCTTCCCTCCATTTAAGTTGTTTATCTCAGGTGTTTTCTTGCAGTGATGGAAAGCTAACACAAAGAGGCTAAGAGGTATGCTATCAGCGTAAACTTCCAGGCTTTTTTCAAATATATATTGAACTAATTTACATATAGTCTTCAGCTAGTTTTTTGGTACAAATTTCTGTCACTAAGTGGAGTGATGGGCTGGATGTGGTGTTACACACCTATAATTCCAGCATTCAGGATACCGAGCCAGGAGGATTACAAATTCAAGGCCAGGGGCTGAGGATGTGGCTCAAGCGGTAGCGCGCTCGTCTGGCATGCGTACGGCCCGGGTTCGATCCTCAGCACCACATACAAACAAAGATGTTGTGTCTGCCGAAAAGCTAAAAAATAAATATTAAAAAAATTCTCTCTCTCTCTCTCTCTCTCTCTCTCTCTCTCTCTCTCTCTCTCTCCACTCTCTCTTTAAAAAAAAAAAAACAAATTCAAGGCCAGCCTTGGCAACTTAGAGAGACTAGATAGATAGATAGATAGATAGGAAGGACTGTAATGTAGCTCAGTGGTAAATTACTCCTGGGTTAAATTCCTAGTACCAAAAAACAAACAAAAAAATGGAGTAATGCAAAAGTGTATGAGAGTAATTCTGGACTTTTAGACATTTACACCCAGTTGAGAAAGAATAACATAAGAACAAATAATGACAAGACCAGGTAATATGTACTAAATATAATAGAGCAATACAGACAGTATGTGCCATAAAACAAAACAATAGATTCTTTTTTTAAAAAAAAGAGAGAGAGAGAGAGAGAATTTTAATATTTGTTTTCTTAGTTTTCGGCAGACACAACATCTTGTTTGTATGTGGTGCTAAGGATCGAACCCGGGCCGCACGCATGCCAGGCGAGCGCGCTACCGCTTGAGCCACATCCCCAGCCCAAAAATAATAGATTCTTTTGGCCTTAGGTATAAAGTTACAGAAGATCCCTCCTTGAACTCTCCACAGGCCTTTGACTCACTTCAACACTGTTAAATCTCTCTGTTCTATAGTAGTCACAGTTTCATAAAATTCCTGGTTACTTACCAAGTTCTACTGGCTCTTGGTTAAAACTTCCCCTAAAAATCAGTGAAAGACTTTATTTGTGAAGAAACAATGAGATAATTAAAATGAGTGTTTTCAAGACTTTATCATGAAGAATTTCAAACATACAGGCTGGGGATATAGCTCATTGGTAGAGAATTTGCCTACCATGTTCAATCCACAGTACCACAAAAACAAAAACAAAAAACATACCACAGTACAGAACATAGTATAATGAATCCCCATGTGCTCATTGATAGCCTCAACAATTTTCAACACATACCCAATCTTTCTCATCCCCCTCACTCTATATAATTTTGAAGCAAATCCATCATTTTATATCATGCAAAATATTTTTAAATACCTCTCTCAAAGCTAGAATTCTTCTAAAATACATAGCCACAAACAAAAATCATACCAAAATATTTCTTTAATATCAAATATCCAGTATTCAAAATTTTAATTGTCTTTTAACAGCCCTATACTGCCATTTTACAGATGAAGAAACTAAAGCCCAATGAAGTTACATAACAGTTCAAGGTCACCCAGCTAACTCACATGCTCATCAGCTGGTAATAAATACAATGTGTGATAGCCATTTTATGGAATATTTTTCAGCCATAAAAAAGGAATGCAGTGGCTTGGGGGTGTAGCTCAGTGGTAAAGCACTTGCCTAGCATTAGTTTGCTTCCCAACACTGCAAAAAAATTGAAAATAAAAAATGAAATAAATGAAAAAAGAAGGAATGTTCTGCTGATAAGCACTACAAAATGGATGGTACATAAAAACATTATACTCAGTGAAAGGAGCCAGTCACCAAAGACTACATATTTTATCTATTGAAATATCGAGAATAGGGGAATCTATATAGAGACAGAAAGTAGATTAATGGTTGCCTAAGGCTGAGGAAAGGAATAGCAGAGAGTGATTATTAATGGGTACAGGGTCTTTTTGGAGTGAAGAAAAATGTTCTAAAATTAGATTGTGATGGGTGCACAATTCTGTGAATATACTAAAAACCACTGAGTTGTATACACACTTTAAATTGGTGAATTGAATAGTATTAGAATATGTCTAAACTTGCTGAGTAAATTATCAAAAGGTTTAAAATGTATCAAACCAAGGAATATTTATAGATCATCTACACACGTATCATACTACATTCTATGCAAGTTAGAAAACAATTTTAAGACACATAACCTGACCTTAAATTGTTCATAAGTCAAGATAAAGGGTACACATGCAAAATAGACTGAATTTGCACCTTATAACTGAAATAATGTGAGTAAATATTTTCTGACTATGCAGAGGCCAAAGCAGCTTGATAATCAGGCTGAGCTAAGGCCAGCAGGCCTGGGTCCTCCTCCCTGGGTTTAGAAATGCCCAGGGTAAACAAATTGCATAGGTTTTCCTTTGTTGTGGATGCTGAAGAGCAACAGAGGTCCTTGATGAAAACCAGGGAGAGTTGTGGTCATGAAAATGTATAAAGTTAAGTGTTCAGAGAAGGGAGATGAGGAACACAATAGGAGATAAAATGTAGGAAAAGAGACAGGTTGGGGATCTGAGGCTACACAGAGTAATTATAATACTAAAAAAACCCTGAAGCACAGGAACCTAGTGGATCACTTATAACCAATCAGGCTTTATGGAGATAACAATTTACCTTCAAGGAATTATGAAACTGCTGTTCAAACTTAAATTGCCTGGGTACCAGGGATTTATGACTACATGGCCCAGTTCTATCTACCCTAAGACTACTTGCAGTGTCTAGCTAAGCTCACATGCTACATAGATTCTCACTAGGAGTGCACAACAGAAAGATGCTTACATTTTACAAATGTATGAACTCAGCCTAATTTTATAACAAGGAAATTTTCAGATGATGTTGGCAATCAAAGCTTAGAATTTTACTCAAATTTTTAGTGTATAAGAGAAAACTACAAGTATAGCCCTGATCAATGAAGTAGAACATATATATCTAAAAACAACAAATTAAAAAAATATTAAACACACAAAAAAGAAGCTAACATTTTGAGCATTAAAAATTATGCATCTTTTCTTAGAACTGTTTACAAAGAACACTTCATATTTGGATTAAGTGGCGTGGGTTTAAGGTGGCCTGATGAATCAGCAGTAAACATAACAATGTAACCCTATGGGCCAATCTGCCTCCAATAAACCACAACACTATTTGGGTTGCAGCTGAAATGCTATACCAGTCTCCTTACCTTTCACCACATCAGCCACATTACAGGTGGGATCAATACTTCCTATATGTTTAGGATGAGCAGGATTAGTGTCACCACCAAATAGAAGTGCTAAATGAACACAAAAGGAAAGGGAGAAGATTTTTAAACAAAGCATTCTGGGATGATCAAGCAGAGAAATATGAGTTTATAAGCGTTGAAAGGCTCCCTTATATGTAAGAATCATTTTAGTGTCCCTAATGACTTAAAGCAATGGAATGCATCTAATTGATGGAGGAGAAACTCCACCAACCAATGAAGAAATAAGAATGTGCTTTTAAGACTCATCAGTTGTAGTCAGCATGTGCTAGGTGCCCAACCTGTTCTCCCCCAACCAGTGTGACTTGGATGAAGAAACTTACTTTCATCCTTAGCCAAGTTTATCCACCTTCCCAGGACTACTGCAGACATTTATCTCAACATTTGCTAAATATTTAGAACACATAGTCTTTACCATTTGTACAGGTCTGTGATGTTCTTCACTGGCAGCATTTCAAAAGCTTTCATCATAGAGATTATTTTTCAATGTCACATACACAAACAATATTTGTTCAAGTATTTTAAAAAGAACATTCAGAAAATTTCACCATACACAAGTATTGCAAATTTTATTTCTGAACAAAAGTCAAAAGAAACCCCAAAGAAAAAAGCAACCTCAGTCCAAATGTTTTATAGGTGCAGTTATTTTAAATCAGGTAAAAAAAAAATTGAAAATAACTTAGAAACTACAAAAAAGGCCTAAATAAAATAGGACAGATTTTGAATTATGAAAAATGGTAAATATGGGCATTAGACCAGTAAAGTTTCAACTGATTAAGGGGAAGGAATCAGAGATATACGTTTAGCCAATGATCTAAAAATGTAGATATATGTCTAAATATACATACTTAGATCCCAAAAGAAATTTCAGTTATCTAAGTAATTTAGCTGAGTAGTATTTAGGGTCTTTTCTCATCTAAATTTCCTGTAAATGTCATACATTTCTGTCATACATTTAAGTAAACCATATTTAATAGTTGTGTAACATTTGCTTATCCAATGAATCAAATTAGTAAAATAAAGGCACTCTATCCATTTTCTGATTCAGCAAAGAGGATTAATTAGGCTCTAGACATATGAATGCTTTTTATTAAGAATTATGAAATCAGCCAAAGATATAACACTGAAAATGAGCCAAAAAGCTTATTGTATTGAGAGAATTTTAGTTTTCTTCATATCTGCTCATCACCTTAGAAAGTGAACTAAAACTCTCAATGCAGGATTAGGCACTGACAATCTTGCTTAATCAGATTTCACTAATATTTTAAAATACAGGATTGATTGCTCATATTGCCAACATGCTAATTCAATATTTCCAGGTACCAGATATTCTTAAAACTAAAAAGGAAAACATATAACAACTTGAACAAAGAGTATAACATACTCTCAGAGACACATAAAATTATTCAGAGATGAATGCACAGCTGCCATTAAAGCTAGTCCCTTTGTCTACCAGTAATATAACGGCAGAGACTTAAGTGGCAGGAAGTGGTCCTATCTAAGATGAACATCATCAATTAGTATTCAAGAGTACCAATTAACAGCCTTTTAATAGGATTTACTTAGGAAAAACTAAATTAGCAATGAAATTTTTATAGCCAAAAATGTAGGTCAGTAAATTAAAAGTGAAATAAGAAGAATACTGGGAAAAATCACTGTGGTTACCTCTGTAAAAGGATCAACAAAACTCAACTTACTGTGCTGGTTAATAAGCATGCGGAAAGATATGCGGTTGGTATAAAATCGATCCAGAAAATATTGGATGTTACTGCTAATGAAGGGGTCAAACCCAAACTTCTCCTTATATTCAATCACTCCTTGAGCCATTGTAGGAACCACATCATTGTGCCTATTTCTGACTTTAATCAGAACTTGTAGAAAGCTGTATGGGAAAGAAAGAAAACGCAGTCAGTCTTTATATCTCATGGGCTAATACACACACTTCTCAACTCCATCCCCAGACTGGTTAATCTGCTGGTATTTTTATAGGTAGACATTATTCTCATCAAGGAAATACTCACAAGAAACAAAAACTTTAACCAAGTGTTAGCTTGAAATTTCCTACAGAAGTTCTTTTCAGAGATGCAAAAAGTAGAAGGTTCTGGTAAGGAAAAAAATGCTCAACCACCTTATTAGGATTCCAATGACTTTTTAAATTCCTTTTATTTGTTCTAATTAGTTATACAACATAGTAGAATGTATTTTGACATATTATACATATATGGCATATAATTTCTCATTCTTCTGGTTGTATATGACATAGAATTACACTGGTCATAAAATCATTTATGAACATAGGATAGAAATGTCAGATTAATTCTACTATCTTTCCTTTTCCCATTCCCCCTCCCTTCCCTTCAATTCCCCTTTTTCTAATCCAAATTAGTTCTTCATTTCCCTAACCACCCCCTTATTGTGAAATTAGCATCCACATATCAGAGAAAACATTCAGCCTTTGGTTTTTTGAGATTGGCTTATTTTACTTAACATGATATTCTCTATTTACATCCATTTAACCAGCAAATGCCATAATTTTGTTCTTTTTATGGCTGAGTAATATTACATTGTGTATATATACCACATTTTCTTTATCTGTTCGTTTGTTGAAGGGCACTTAGGTTGGTTTAGCTATTGTGAAATGAGCTGCTATAAACACTGATGTGGATGCATCACTGTATTATGCTGATTCTAAGTCCTTTGGCTTTTTGAGTAAGTAGTTACAAATAGTACAGATTCTATAAATGTTTTATAGATTTATAAATGTTCATAAATAATTGCAGAACATGTCGATATTTATTTTGAAAATATGAGGAAAATCCCAAAATAATCTCCAAGGATTTTTTTAATGGAATTTCAAAGCAATACCTTCCATGAGTAAAGATACAAAGTCAAACTTTGGGGGTGAGTACCAGGAAGTAAACTCAGGGGCACTCAGCCACTGAGCCACATCCCCAGCCTATTTTGTGTTTTATTTAGAGACAGGGTCTCACTCAGTTGCTTAGTGCCTCACTGTTGCTGAGGCTGGCTTTGAACTCGCAATCTTCCTACCTCAGTCTCCCAAGCTAATGGGATTACAAGCATGCACCACTGTGCCCGGCAGAGAATCAAACTTTTTAAAAGTAAACTTTGGAAATAAATGTCTTACAGTAGTAAAATACAATAATGAAATGTAAGTTTTATTTTTTTTTATTGATTTTTTAAAAAAATAAATGACAGCGGAATGCATTACAATTCTTATTACACATACACAGCACAATTTTTCATCTCTGGTTGTATATAAAGTATGTTGACACCAATTCATGTCTTCATACATGTACTTTGGATAATGATGTCTATCACATTCCACCATCCTTGCTAATCCCCTGTGGAAAGGGAGGGGGAAATGCAGACATTAAAAAAGCAATTACAGTAAATGTATTTGTTGGGCACAGTGGTTCATGCCTGTAGTCCCAGCTACTTGGGAAGCTGAGGTGGAAGAACTGCTTGAGCCCAGGAGTTTGAGACTAGCCTGGGAAACATAGTGAAACCCCATCTCAAAGAAAAAAGAAAAATGTATTCAAGTATTCTGGCACATTATCATAAACATGTATAGGAAAAATATATTAAAAATAGTGACTAGAATAGAAAGATAAGTCCTTCAATGGAATGAAATAAAAAGTTTGAAATCAGGCCCAAGGGTAAGTATGTGTGCATAAAAATTTAGCATATTGGGAAAGTGGCATTGCTAGTCAGTAGAGAAATAATCAAATTAATAATCAAAGTGGGCATGATGGTGCATGCCTGTAATCCCAGTAACTTGAGAGGCTAAGGCAGGAGGATTACCCAGCCTCAGCTACTTAGCAAGACCCTGTCTCAAAATAAAATAGAAAAAGGGCTGGAGATGTAGCTCAGTGGTAGAGTGCCCCTAAGTTCAATCTCTAGTACCTCCACACACAAATTAATGATCAAATTAATTCAGATAGCAGGCTAACAATTTAAGTCATATCCCAATTGCAAGTCTTAAACCAACAACCAAAAAAAGGATTAAAAATGTAAAAGGGTGGCCTGGGGATGTGGCTCAAGAGGTGGCACGCTCACCTAGCATGCATGAGGCACTGGGTTCGATTCTCAGCACCAAATAAAAAAAAAAAACAAAACAAAACAAAATAAAGATATTGTGTCTACCTAAAACTAAAAAATAAATATTTTTTAAAACCATAAAAGTGATTAAAAACATAAAGTGAACAAGTATATAAGCATGGGATAAGAAAGGCTGTTCTAAGCTTAATACCAAAGGTAGCAACAAATGATATAAAGAAACAAAGATATGATGATGTAGAATTTCAATAATTCTATAGGAACATACATTATATATAAAATAAAAACAACCCGAAACCAGGAAGAATGTATTTGCAAGAGTTATTATCCTTGATAAAGGAAAAGATGAGCGTCCTATTAGAGAACTAGGCAAAGTGCCGATTATCAATGGAAAATTTACCAAAGCGTAACCACAAATGCCAGTAATTTTACCCTCACAAAAAAAAAAAGTAGGGCTGGGTTGTGATTCAGTGGTAGGACACTTGCCTAGTACATGTGAGGCACTGAGTTCAATCCTCAGACCACGTAAAAATAAATAATGTCCATCTACAATGAAAAAATATTTTAAAAAACAAAGTACATTAAAACAATGCAATACTATTTTCTACTTATCAGACTGGCAAAGAATAACAAGTGTCAGTGGAATGTGGGAGCTTAACTGACAAATTTCTAAGAGCAATTTAACAATACTCACCAAAAGCTTGAATAAAATAATTCTATTTCCAGGATCGATTCTAGGAAAATAACTGGACAAGGTAAAGAGCTGTTTTTAAAAACTGTTCCTTACAGTACTATTTGTGATTGCAAGAAATCTACAAGTCAGTCTAAAATCCAACAACAGGTGATCAAATTGCATGACATACCTGTACAAGGACTAGGAATATGAATAGTCAAGTATCACGTAATAATGTTTCAGACAATGACAAATTGCACACAGTGGTAGTCCCATAAGATTATATCACCTAGCAATGTCATAATCATCTTGGTTTGTGTAAGTAGACTCTATATTTGCACAAAGATAAAATCATCCCAATGATGGATTTCTCTTTTTTAAAAAATATTTTTTAGTTGTTGTTCGACCTTTTTTTTTAAAAAAAAAATTATTTATATGTGGTGCTGAAAACTGAACCCAGTGCCTCACACATGCCCAGCAAGTGCACTACTGCTGAGCCCCAGCCCCAGATTTCTCTTAATGTATCCCTGTCATTATGCAATGCACAACCATATTATGAAACTAATAATGGTATATGTCTGTTATGTAGACACTTATTTTTGTAAAAAAAAAATTTTATACATACAAAAATATGCATGCTTAGGAAAAAGCACAGACAGAAGGAAAATGTTAACAGTAGTTGTCTCCTCCTAGTGGAAATTTGGAACAATTTTTTTTTTACTTGTCTGAATAGTCTTATTTTTTTCAATGATGAAAGATCTTTGTAACAAATACATACATACAATGACAGTAAAGATGAATAAATAAATTCTTAAATTAGGACACAAATATTTATAAGAAAATTTACAATGGACAATTTGTCCTTATACAATACTCTTTCCAATGTATATATAAATTAAAACTTCCTAAAGTGAAACAGTTAATTAATTATAGTAGTATTTCAATGTATCTGAAGGGAGGAGACATATGACAATGGTTCAATTCTAAGAATACTTTCTCAATCTTCCATGTTCTTCTAAACTCTATTATTATGATAAACATGCTTGTCCTCTAAGCTACTTTGACTTTACTAAAATGATTTCCCTGCTGGCAATCTCATATAACCTCCCACTGAACAGAAAAGGCTGCAACCATGACAATCACTTTTCACTCCTCTCTTCACCAACAGCATCAGGCTTCTCAAATCCCAACTCTCCTAACTAGCTGCAAGAACCTGGCAAATTATCAAAACTCACTGAGTTGAGAGCTGTCATCAACATGACCTAGCATACACTACATTCACAGTGGCCATTTACAAAGCAGGCTTGTGTCCATAGATTACATCTGACTGTTAAGCTTTTCCAGAAACTAAGACAGGAGTCCAGAAAACACAGCAGAAATTTAGTACTGTGTTCTTCCACAAATCTACATCCTCAAATTTGGAGCTGGAAAGGCCAGACCTAATTTTTGGGACACTAGCCAAACAGTCATCAGCTAATGACTTTTGAGAAAACGAAGCTCCAGCATTCTACTCATTTATTATCAATCAACACATTAAATTATAGCAGTGGCTTGAATCAAGGAAACCACTGCATCCACATTTCACAGATCCATTAGACAAAACACCTACTGAAGAATAAAATCGGTCAGGGACAGACATGGTAGAACATACCTGTAATCCCAGCAACTAGGGAAGCTGAGGCAGGAAGATTGGGAGTTCAAAGTCAGCCTCGGCAACTTAGTGAGGCCCTAAGCAACTAAGCAAGACCTTGTCTTTAAATAAAATATAAAAAAGGCCTGGGGATGTGGCTCAATGGTCAAGCCCCCATGGCTCAATCCCTGGTACCAAAAAATAAATAAAAATATAACTGATCAGAGATTCTTCTCTTTTATATCTTAATTTACAACTAAACTTGAGCTAGCTAATTATGGCTCAAACAGCAGTTCTGGCAGTATGGTATACTATAAATAAGAATGTACAAGGGAAAAGGAACCATGACTTATAGGTTCAACTCTGCTAAGAACTGTCATAATCTTGGGCAAGTCATTTCATATCCCTGACCTCGGTTTCCTAATCTGTGAATTCAGAGGTCTGTGTTAAATACCTCCTAAGGTTGTTGATATAATGTGGTGTTTCTATAGTCCTTTTCATGACCCACCTGAGACAGGTGCCTGTCTCACAACTATGTGAATTAGGTTTATACTCAGAAATTGCTCAGCAAAACAGACTTGCCATGTGCATTCACTTGTATATACATAAAACAGGAAGAAATTAACGTGAAGGAGATTGCAATTTCTCGTGGAGAAAAACACATTCACATCTAGGGTTAATGTTTCTTGGTTAAGTAAAAATGAAAAAGTAAAATACTTTCCATCAGCATGAGAACTTAGTAGTCTGTGTGTAATGACAACAACAGAATTCAGGTTGTTATATAAAAAGCACATTCTTGCCAGGTGAAGAGGCCCTAAACAACTTACTGAGACCCTATCTCAAAATAAAATATAAAAAGGTCTGGGGATGTGGGTCAGTGTTGTGCCCCTGGGTTCAATTCCCCATATGAAAAAAAGTACATTCTTTTGTTGCTTGTCTAAAATATAGTTTGTGAGTTCAAATATAATATCCCATTGAATTTTTTTAAAAAGACTGGATAGATGATTCATGTATATATGAAGGTCACTGCATTCTTAAAACTACCACTAGATGGAACATTTACTGCAATGTTTAGAGTTAATACTCAGTTCACCTTGATTAAATGTATTAAGAATTGGGTCATGAAGCATTAATTTGAAGGGTCATTATTCTTTGTGCACTATGTTAAATTCTTAACTCAAAAATTTCAAAAAAGTCAACCTTGAGCCATTAGCCACTAAGAAAACTAGTGCAAATTGTATTTCTTGGGTCTTAATGGCAGGAATTCCATTTACCAAAACATCTTTTTACCTAGATACTTTTTCTTTCAGTTAAGTGGTAGCATACTTACTTATCTAAAACCTGTGGGTCTTCAGGGCTCTTATTTTCATATTCTAAAAGTTCAAGAAAACTCTGCATGTACCTAAAACAAAGAAGAAGAATTGCTGTTAGTTGCCTACCAGATAGCCATTCCTCCTTTCCCTCTTCCCAAAAGCACTCCAAAATTTCATTCAGGTTTCATTCCATCCCTACATGCAGCTTAAGTGCTTCAAGAAAAGCTGATGCCTCCAAAACTTATAGACGTTTTTCTCTGGATAGTCCTATTGCTTTTGCTACTAATTATTAATTGGTTCAACAGTTAGGTCTAAGCCTAGGCTGTGCATTCCCCTCAAAACAGGGACTGGCTCAGGAATGAGCATACTGCCTCAATTGACGCAAATAAAAAGAGAGATAAACCTTGCTGGAGGTCTCTGAGAAAGAAATCAACTTGCTTTGCTTTTATATAATGTGCTATGGGGATGTTAAGTCTGGAACTGTGTAGCTATTCTGCCAGCAGTAGGAAATCCAACCTGAAAACAAAGCTAACATTTTCAAAAGCAGGTCCTTGATAGCCTCATGAATCTCTGATTCAAACCAAGTCCAAAAGCTTATCCTTTGGTTGGATCTTTACACAAGCCAGGTTCAGCTTCATTTTTTGCTATTACAAGTATATCCTAACTGATATTTTACAGCTTGACTAAAAACATGCATATAAATTTTAAGAAGCAAGTGAGTGACACTCAAGTACACACCAAGAATTTAGAAACTAGAAGTAAAAAAAAAGATTCCTTCTCCAAGTGAAATTCATTTCATCAACCTGTAATGGAGGAATATATCTTAGGTCCTCAGAAACTGCTTCTGCATTAAGAATGGCTGCATATTTCAGTAAGGGCCAGTACAATAAAAATGTGTACAACATTAAGATCTGGAACACACAGATAAATGGGATTCAGAGAGGCACATTAGTGTGGCAGTTATATCTGTCCCAAACTGGATGGATCTAGTAGGGATTCAGATATTCCAATTAGAGATTTACGATCACTGCTTTGGTACTTAACATATCCTGAAATAATTATCCCTTCATTCTAATCATTTCTAACAATTAATTACCACTAATCCTATTATAGAGGATTAGAACACTTTAGTGACTAAAAATGACATATGCATATAAGCAGGAATGACATTTAATTCATCAGCCTCACAGGAACTTTGTGATAATGTATCTGATACTAAAGGGCAGTCATCTCCCTGTGTATTTTTAAAAAGTTTCTGGGTAGATAAGGCCAGGTAAGAGATATTAAAATCATTAGGTCAAAATACCCTGAGAAGTCAAAGTTGGTCAGCTCCAGGAACGTCCTTTGTCCTGCCACATGCAAGGGAATTTTGGCAGGCCTCCTGTCTTTTCCAAAGGGGATAGTCTTTTAAAGAGTAAAGTCATATATGGAGAGGAATCAAAGATTATGCTAAGATTCCCAGCCTAAAAATCAAAATAACAAGAACAACACACTGTGGCTCAGCATGGGGACAATTTGTTATAAATAAAGTTTGTTTTTAAAAACAAATGACAACGACACACAAATATATGATCCTGAACTGAATTCCTAAATCAAGAGGGGAGACTGCTAAAAAAAAAGGTGCACTATTAAAACAATAAGTGAAATGATAACAAGTTCTACATATTAGGAATTATTACTATATCAATTTTAAAGTTCCTGAATGTGATGACCTTATTCTAGTTTTCTAAGAGTTATTCCCAGGACATATATGCCAAAATATTTAAGGGCAAAGGGACATGATATCTATCTTAATCCAAATGGTTCAGGAAAAAAATGTATGTGTACAAATGGCAATCATTAAAAAAAATCATAGAACAACAAATTCCATCAGTATGCACAACTATAATGCACCAATTTAAAAAAAGTGGAAAAAATAAAATAATAAAGTTTGGTTAAAAAAAGAATACAAAAAAAATCAGAAAGAGATTATCCAAAGAATAATGATGCTTACTTGGGAACAGCATTACAATGGCAATAGCAGAGCCTGACAATGGGAATACATTTTAGTAAGCTATGATGAATTCAAAGGAGTTGAAGGGCAAGGGGAAGCTTTTAAAGACAAAAAAATGAAGATGATTACATCAGATTTTCAAACAATAATCCTTGGCCATGATGGTTAGCAAGATTTGCATCAGTATGAGGTTAAACAGTTGCTAGGCAGATGTCCTTAGAGAAGTACTTTTTGTATAAGGTTGTGGTGGACTCTGTATAAGCTTATGGTTCTGGCAGTCTTTTGTGGTAGTTACTATCAGGCACTCACACATAAGAACCCTTTCTTTATAACCTACTAGTCTTATTTATTTTTGTTAAGGTTGTTACAAGTGACTCTATTTTGATTCTGAGAACTTTTATATTTCTTTCATATACACACATGTGTGTACCAAACATATGCACATGCACACACACATATGGAGACAGAGTATGAATATGAATCACAATGGTAGAACAAATGTGTCCAAATGTTAATAATCAATGAATCTGAGCAAAGGCATATGGGAATTCTTTCTAATAGTCTTGCAACTCTTAGGTAGGAAATTATTTCAAAATATAATGTTAAAGGAACAAAAAGGACAAAATGGCAGGTATGTGTTTGAAAGAGATATGGAAAAAGAACGGTGGAGAGACCAAAAAAAAAGGAGTTGATGCACTAATTTGTTTGAGTTCTATACTCTGCTGGTGTGGTGTGCTGGTGTATAACACAAAAATACATCCTGTATTTGTTCCCAGTTCCTAGTACACTTCTAAAATCCTTAGAATTTCCTGAATGATAGGAGTATCTTGTTCATCAAAAGCCCCTTTTAAACACACCTGAGTTTATGCTAATGAGATTGACTGAGAGTAGGTGCCTAGATAGCCTCAGGATAGGGCTGTTACCAAAAAATTCACCTTCACCTCTAGGGGTGGGAACAGCTAGGAGATTAAGCTCTATAAAAACTCTTGAAGGGAAAGATTCTGAAAGCCCCTAGGTTGTTGTGCTGGGAGGATGCTGAACCCAGAGAGAGCTCAGAAGCCATACACACTCCCACTTAGCCCTACACATTTCTTCCATTTGGCTATTCCTGGGTTGTGCTTTTTACAATAGACCTATAAACAGTAAGCAAAGTACCTTTCTCAGTTCTGTGAGCCATTCTAGCAAATTATCAAACCTAAAAAGAGAGCTGTGGAAACTCAATTTACAGTCAGCCTGTAAAAAGCAAAGGTGGTCCAGGGAGTTGCAATTGGTGTCTGAAGTAGGTGTCAGTCTTGAGGGACTGAGCTCTTAAGTTGTGGGGTCTGTGAAAACTTCAGGTACTTAATACCAGAATTGAATTGTTGAACACCCATCTGGTGTCTGAAGAATCAAAGAATTACTTATTAGTACTGGAATACACCACAGAGCCAGCAATTCACTTGGAAGCCACTGAAGTAACTACTACAAAAGTAATAGAAAACGCTTGACCATCACCACCAACCAGATCTGGGAACTTGACCTTGCCTACTTAGAATGCTGGAAGAGCTCTAATAATTATCTTGAGGCAATAAAGAAGCCTCATGCAAACTAGTCAGGAGCTGTTGCTTTTTGGGAAAAGGGAATGACACTATAACTCTAATACCATCCAATATAGTGCTTCTCAGGTGACTCATTCTTAGCCCTAAGAATTTATTACATTATTATTATTATTATTATTACTATTGAGAAATGACTGCTGAATGTGCATTTTCTTTCAGTAGCCTGGCCTCCATGAACCCTCTAAATGCAATCTAATTACTGGTTCCATTTTCCTTGTATTTGTCCACAGCATTCCCTTCTCTTAAGATGCTATCCCTGTCACCTTACTGGTCAACTCCACCCCCATCAAGGTCAGTTAAAGACCACAGTGAGCAGTTTTTGCCCCTCCTCTGTGTTACCACCACACTGTGTCTGCCCCAAGAGCACTTAAGCCATTTGGCCTCACAAACTACAAACTCCTCCACCTTTCTCCAGGGACTTCTACCTTGCTTTTACAACACAGAGTAGAACTGTGAATGTTTATCAAATATATGCAAACTCCTTTCTAAAAACACACCACCTTCCATTATTCTACCATTCACTTATCACCTGCTCTTACATTATACCATTCACTTATCTCACCCTGCTTACCTAGTAGGGAGTTTCATCACAAATTCAACTTCCTCAATTAATAACATCTGTTTTATGCATCAGAGCTATATCTGATTTAATTCTCTTGTTGGGGGGGTACTAGGGATTGAACCCAGAGGCTCTTTACTACTGGCCACATCCCAAGCCCTTCATATCTTTTTAAGACAGGGTCTCACTAAGTTGCTTGGGGCCTTGCTAAATTTTAATGCTGGCCACAAACTTTTGATCCTCCTGTGTCAGCCTTTGATGTTGCTGGGATTACAGGCATGTGCTATATCTGATTTAACTTGAAGTTATAGTCTGTTAAGATTTTTTCATACTTTTCATGGGGCAAATGAAGCAAAACGTGGAGCTGATATTTTTCCAATCTGAGGTTCCCCTTTAAATAACTTCGCATATTCTCCAAGAAGCACTGCCTTAAAGGAACTTAGTTAAAAGGAAAATAAAAGCAGCAAAGCTTAAACTTGATAAATGTGAGAAACATCTTCCTATCTGAAGGAAGGCAGGTCCATTCTCACAGGCTACTACCTTGCTACTCCTTTATATTGTTCTCTACTTTCCTTTTTTTCAATGAGCAATCACATCTATAAGCAGAACAATTAAATTTGAAAAGTCAAGAAAGTATCTATTATGCCTTAGAAATATTTTTTAAAGCTACTTTAAATTGAACAGTTCAAAAAGAACCCATCTTTTAAGGGCATGGAAAACCCAGCTACCCTGAATGACTCATTCCCACATGGGCAGTATGTGCACTTTTATGGAGAATGGTTCCAAAGCCAAACGTTCACAGCATTGTGGGAAGATCCATTTCAAGCCACATTTTTACTTACCAACTCTGAACCAATCCCACTGAAGGGCGGTTCAGTAAGTTATCTGGCAGAAGATTAACTTCTCTCATAGTGTTAGCCAGTCGCACAGGAAGTTCCTTTCGTAGAAACATGTATGAAGTTTTCTCACATGCATTATCTCTCCCTATTAAGAGATAAAAATGTTCCATGATTTTACAACTTAATAAATGAAGAAATAAAGGGTTTTCATGGTAACACAGTTATTATTAGTCAGAAAGGAAAAGTTAAATAATCCTGCAGTCTCTAGTTAAAATTTTGTCCTCTGAAATAGTTAGTTTAAGAAAATAACTTAATTAGAAGAGAAAAAGAACATTTATTCCATGAAGTAACCTTGAAAACAGTTTTTTTTTCTTAAAACAAGTAAGTTCCTAGTGTTACCAGCAGCAATATAAAAGTGACCTGGGATATAATGTAAACTTGTTTTCAAATAAACACTGTGGGAAAACTGCCAAGTACAAAAGTAGTAGAACATGTAAATCTATTGCAGTTTACATAGGGGTTTACAGGAGACAACGGATCCATTCATTCTATAAATGTTCACCTACTGTGTGCCAACTGTTTCCTAAGATTTTCTTTAAATTTGTTTCTTCAGAAACCATAGCACTATCACTCTGGAAAGTAGCCACAGACTCAGGAGGCTCTGTGATTCTAAATGTGGGACTCTGAAACAAAGGGTTCACATGTGTCAGAGAAACCAGCTCATGATGTTCCCATGGGCACAGGGGTCTGCTATGGCATGTCAAAAAATGGGAAGACACAGTGTTGACAATAAACAAAGAGGTTGACAGTAGAATGAATCAAGCATTACTTCCCTATGTTCATATATGAATACATGACCAGTGTAATTCCACATCATGTACAACCACAGAATGGGAAATTATACTCCATGTATGTATAATATGTCAAATACATTCTACTGTCATATGTAACTAAAAAGAACAACAACAAAAAAAACCAAAGAGGTTAATGAATTAAGTCAGGCACAGAAAGACAAATACTATATGATCTCATTCATATGTGGAGTCTAAAAAATTAATCTCATAGAAGTTAAGAGTAAAATGATGGTTATCAGAGGCTGAGGAGAGTCACATAGAGGGAGGAATGGAAAAGTTGATCAATGGATTGTAAGTTACAGTTAGACATTCTGGTATGCTATTGCAAATCAGGGCGACTACAGATAATGATAAATTCTACATTTCAAAAAGTTAAAAGAAATTTTATTTATTTTTTTTTAATGAACATGATACCTTCATTTTATTTATTTATTTTTATGTGGTGCTGAGAATCAAACTCTGTGCCTCACGCATGCTAGACAAGCACTCTACCACTAAGCTATAACCCCAGCCCCCAAAAGAAAGGATTTTGAAAGTTTCACCATAGAGGCTGAGGTTGTGGCTCAGCAGTAGAGCGCTTGCCTAGCACGTTCGAAGCCCTGAGTCCAATACTCAGCACCCACATAAAAATAAACAAACAAAATAAAGGTATTAAAAAATAAAGGTATGGTATCCAACTACAACTAAAAAGTTAAAAAAAAAGGATGTTTGAGGAGATAGATGTGTTTACCCTGATTTACACAATGTATACATGCACTGAAACATCACATGGTGCCCCATTAATATGTATGGTTTAATGTTTTCATGTATCAGTTAAAATATAAAATAATAAATTAAGGAGTCTTCTAGAGGTGACTTTAAGCTGGTTATGCAAAACACTAACAAAAATGGGGCACAAGGAAAGAAAAGGTGCCCCAGTCACTCTAACCTGTTGCATGTGGTCAGAGTAGTTCTAGGACTAGCCTTGCCTGTAAACCTGGTATAAACTCAATGATGGCTATAGGACAGAGGGCATGATAGAAAGGACAAAAGTTTGGAGGATAAAAATATCCTCTAGTTCCAACTCCTCCATCCTGGGGTTGGGAAACCTTTGCTAAACTGCTTCTTCATCATTCCTCTGAATTTCATCTGCCTTAATTTGTAAAACAGGGATCAAACTTCCTAAAAACTAAATGTTATACCATGAGTGGAGACTGAGATGGAGCATGTGACCAATAAACCCTGGTGCTTCTCCTGCTTTCCATGATACTTTATGGGTCCATCCAATCTCCCTCACACTAGCTAGGCCCCCACATGCTCCATGCTCCCTGGAAGCTGTTCTGAAATGAACAACATCAGAGGGAAGCAGAGCCTATCGAACAATTTTCATCTTCAAATTCTCCTTATTCATCCTTACATGATAAAGGCAGCAAATGAGAGACTCAGAAGCCAAATTTTCTTGAAGTAGAAGAACCCACTTTAAGAAATTTTTTTTAGTTGTAGATGGACATAATACTTTTATTTTTATGTGGTGCTAACAATCAATCCAGTGCTTCATACCTGCCAGGCAAGTGCTTTACCACAGAGCCACAATCCCAGCCCCAAAGAACCCACTCTTGAAAGTCATCTCCAGAATCTTTCCTCCTGACCCCAGACCCAGACCCCTTCTTCATTTTCAAAACAGTCAGAATGAATGATTACAGTCTTAAATAATCCATCCCTCATTTCCTTCATTCTGAGTATACTGAAGGCCTTCAATAGTGTCTCTTTTAAATGAATGATTCTTTTACTTAGACTATAATAGGTATTTTAATCTCTAAAACCCACTTCCAAATAAGGGGAAAAGAGGTGTAAGACTCCAGAAATGAACATCCAACATCATTTTCTATATGATCCTGGATGTTTTGCTTCAAATACTATATATTATCCCTCAAAAGTTCTATATAAATGTAATCTTGATTTTAAATGCATTAACAATGCTGCTATTGCCAGGTGCAGTGGAGTTTGTCTGTAATCCTACTTACTCCAGAGGCTGAGGCAGGAAAATCACAAGTTTGAGGCCAGCCTCAGCAATTTAGGGAGAGCCTCTGCAACTTAGTGAGACTCTGTCTCGAGATAAAAAATAAAAAGGGCTGGGGATGCAGTTCAGTGGTAAAGTATCCATGGGTTCAATCCCCGGTACCAAAATAATTAAAACAAACAAACAAATAATGCTAATATTTGTCACAGAAAATCTCATAAAAGACTTACTAAGTTAAAATATAAATCTAGATTTTCACATGCCAGAAGAACTTTGCATCCTAGTTAACAGACTTTTTTTTTAAAAGCACCCCCCAAAAAGCAAAAAAGAAATGTTCTGCACAGTGGTGCATGCCTGAAATCCTAGCTTCTTAGGAGGCTGATGCAGGAGGATTATAAGGTTGAGGCCAGCCTGGGAAAACTTAGTAAGAACCTGTCTCAAAATTTTAAAATTAGAAAAGTGTTGGAGTTGTAGCTCAGTGGTACAGTGCCTTGGGGTTCAATACCCAGTACTGGGGCAGGGGCAGGGAAAGCAAAGAAAAGAAATGTCCTCAGTAGGGGATGACAAAGATTCTCTCCTTTGACCAAACTTGAGTCAGGCTCCTCTGACTAGGCACTAACCTTGGGCTCTAGCTTGACTTGCTTAGGCCAGTGTTAGCAAGAATCAAGTCATTTTAGCAAAACTCCCCTGCCCTCCATATCTGATCACCTTTGATATCTGATTCTGTTGCTCATCACCTACAGTAAGACTTGAGTTTGAATCTTAAGCACTCACAAGCTTCACAAACACAGACAAGTTTCTTTACACTTCTAAATCTCACTACAACCATCCATAAGATAGGAGTAGCACCTTCTTCATAGAGATATGGTGAGGGTTAAAATGTGCTTAACATTGGATGTCGACACATTCTTAAAGCTTAGAAGAGGGGGGGGGGTCCATTAAATAGCAATCACTAAAGATGCCAGATGATGATCAAGCAGAATGGTCTGAGGCTATGGGATACAAAATCATATAGTCTGATACTTGGTCAGCCCTGAGAGCATGACCTTATCCTGGATTAGCACAGTCCCCTGGGCTCATTTGATGCTTCTTTATAATTTAAAAAGATGAAAGTATGCCCAGTGTCCCTACCATTCACTATTTTAAAATAAAAATCCTTGATGCTTACAGTGGTCAACTATGTACTATATGAAAAACTCAACCATTAGGCATGGTCTAAGAGAATCAACTTCAGGAAGCATTTTTACTCTAGTATCTGTTGATTATCAGCCTTTTATAAATCTATGAAAAGAAACTATCTGATTCTATACCCCTCAATCCCTGTTATAGTGTCTTGCCTACAGTTTCTCAATGATTTCTTGGCAGAATAGCTAATGCTTTCAAAAGTTTGTGTTCTTAAAAAAGAGTAGCTGAAAACCCCCAAGTTTTGCTTCCTACATTCTAATTTAGCTTTAGGGACAAATTCTTTGTACTTAGATACCTTAATTATATATCAGCTTAAACAAGAGGATAAGTCTTTTTTAGTTAGTTAATTAGTGAACCTAAAAATAAATCTGAAATGCTTGAATTTTATAACCTTTCTGTGGCTTTCCTCATATACATTTACGTATTTTATACTAGGTATTAATGCTGAACACTCAATTTAAATCAAAGAGTTCTTATAACCTTTTTATAATAAACTTACCCAAAAAAATCTTTGAGTTTTAAATGAATGTCCTCTCAAAAGGATTCTGTTTTTATAAGTCTTTTGGTGTACTGAATATTTTTCCAGTTATTCTTTCCAATTATTTGACTTCATTTTCCCCACTTACTTGGCTTCTCTACATTCCTTAATTTTGAATTTTATTCTGCATTTCTCTTTATACTTCCTCTTATTCAAATTTACCAATTCATTTTTTCCCTAGTATTGATTCAGATGATGACAAAGAGGGAGCAAGTGAAGGGATTTGGAAAATTCTGACTTAGTGAATATAAATAAGTCACTAACTAAAATAACACTCAGATGTATTCAGTTTTTCTTTCTTGTTTGATGACCCTTTAATTCTCTTCTGCTTCGGTTTATTTTTGGTGCTGGGATCAAACCCAGGGCCTCATGCACACTTGCTCTACCACTAAGCTACATCCCCAGTCTCGGTTTCTATACTTTGCCCTTTCATTAGGAACTTGTAGATAGTTACTACACATACAAAAGGTTTGATGTGCCTTGTCTAGGAAGGATCCATATAGCTTCACATTCACCAAGTCTCAGAATGAATAGACAGAAATACAAACAACTTTCAGTTTAACACAGGG